ACCCCATCGATGGCTGTGTTCGGGGTGATCCCTCGGCCCTTTTACCAGGACGACTCTGCCGGAGTGACCGCTGTTGCTGGTGCCTTGCAGACGGATGTCACCCTCTTTGAAAAGGCTCTGCGCATCCGTCAGTTGTCACTATCTACGGTTCAGCGAGCTGTAGCAGAGGACCGCATCTTCCGGGCCTTTCGTACGAGGACGAACCAGCTGAACTTGCAGGACATGGTTCCCGGGGTCACGAGGATTGACTTTCATCGAGAAACGCAAGGTGATGTTGGGTGGCGCGGTCCAGCCGAGCTCCTTAAAGTGTCCAAGGACGAAGGAACTGCGATCATTAGTTATCAAGGTCGCCCGTATTTGGTGTCGCTTCGCCATATACGTCCTCACCAGGCGGGCATCTATGTGACCCTTCCGGATGAGAAAGAGGCAGTCCTACTGGAGCTCAAGTACCTGGCGGAACAGCTCGCGCCCTACAAGGTCTTCACCATCGGCAGCGTGCAGACGATGAAGGATGGCCTTACCTCATGGCACCGAGCCTCATCATCCTCGCTAGCCTACCGGGACATATGGTCTAAGGTGGTCTCGATCTCCAAGGCCTTGTCGACCAAACCGGTCCAAACCGGTGACTGGTCTGCTGGCTGGAGCCGCTGTGAGGACCATTCATCCTCCTCGCGGATCCGTGGGTGTCCTCCTCGTGTGGGCTCGAGGGTCTAAAGACGGTCACTGCTACCACGAGCACCGCAACGACCAGCCGATCACCGTGAAGAAGGTGACGACGAAGCCTATCGAGGACACCATCTTCCTCTATGTCTACTACTACGTCAATGTGGAGTATCGACCCTCTGAGGACCTGAAGGTGATCCCTTCGGAAGGTGCAAAAGATGTGGATCCTACGAAACCTCCTGCCGCGGACCTCCACGACAGCACACCTGGGATGGATGCACCTCCGGTGTTTGACCAGAACGAGGGTGACCCCCTGCCGACGTCTACTTCGGCGAGTATGGACGTTGACATCCAAGCGGAGGACTTGAAGCGCAAGGGGCCTGACTCCCGGACAGTTGTCCTCGGTCCAGAGAGCAAGCGGTCGAAGACGGAAGCCCTCATGAACTACGTCAACTCCTCGAGAGTGGACCACCGGGCGCAGCACTTCCTCATCAACCTGTACTGGGTGATGCATTGGACGCAGGCTGTGCCGATGGAGTTCCCCATGACGTGGTACGGCATGGACAACAATGTCAACGTTGCACAGTGGGACATTTACATGTCTCGGGCTGTCGACTGGAAGGACGATGACCTCCCCGCCAAGCACCGGTACTTGTTCACGTGGCCTGGCAAAAGAACTGAGGACCTCTACGCGGACCTACAGGGAGGCCAAGTGTTCAAGGTCGACGACGAGACGGACAACATCGACGAGACCGAGATGTACTCAATTCGGCCACAGGTCGAGCAGGCTGACTCTGAGGAAATCAAGCAGTTCGTCGAGACCGGCTCCTTCGCCAAGGCCCACGTCAACAGTGTGGGTGACGACACGGTCATCGTTGATGCGGTGTGGATCCGGAAGTGGAAGAGGCTGCCCAACGGCGCGAGAAAGGTGAAATCTCGCCTGTGTGCCCGTGGGTGTTTCGACAGCCAGAAGAGCCTGCTGTCTACACGATCGACCACGGCGACCCGCCTGTCGCAGCGCATTCTGGTTTCCACTGCGGCAAACGAGGACCTCGACTGCGAGTCATGGGACATCTCCGGGGCCTTCCTCAAGGGCATGGACTTTGAGACAGTTCGGAAGCTTCTGGAGTCCAAAGGCATCCGCACGCCAGTGCGGAAGGTCGCGATCATTGCCCCGGCCAATGTTTGGAGACATTTGGCCTCCTTTGATGAGAGGTTCAAGAGTCTGCGACTTCCTCCTCATCTGCATCAAGCCCGTTTACGGCCTGAGCGACGCTCCGTTGGCTTGGCAGCTGTGCTTGCGCATTTTGAGGAGCAAGGCGGCAAGCCCTCGTTGATGGATGAGAACCTGTTTTACTGGTCATCTCCGCCGACATTTCGGACCACTGCCATGGTGACGACTCACGTGGATGACTGTGGCTCGGCAGGGAAGACCGCATGGCTAAAACAACAGTACGAGCTGTTGGTGAAGAAGTTCGGAAAGGTGACGAGGCAAGTCATGCCGTTCAACCACTGCGGAGTTCAGTACTCACGAACTCCCGAAGGATACCACATGTCGCAGGACGAGTTCTGTAAGAAGCTCAAGGTGGTGACCATCGGCAAGGACAGGAAGGACACCGACGTCCTCACTCCCACGGAACTAACTTCGTTCCGTTCCGTGCTGGGCGGTCTTTTGTGGCTGACGGCGACCAGGCTGGATTTGGTGGCAGACGTGTGTCTCTTGCAAGCACAAGTCACCAGGGCCACCATAGCCCATCTGAGACAGGCCAACAATGTGGTTCGCAGGGCCATGGAAGAGATCGGACAAGGCCTGGGTCTCCACTACCGCCGACTTCGCCCTCCTTACCGGCTGGCTTGCATACACGACAGCTCTGCCGCCGGCAACGTGCGGAACTACGCCCAGGAGGGGATCCTGGTTATCCTCTGCGAAGATCGTATGGCTGAGTGGGACCGGACGGAAGAAAACGTGTTGTCCGACGTCGACTGTGGCTACCTCAGGGCCACGTCCTGTGGGCCCATGGTGCCAAGGCCAAGCGGATATCCTACTCTACGAGTCATGCGGAGACCCTAGCCGCTATCAGTGGATTGGAGGCCGCGACGCTAGTGGCAGTCCGCCTCGCGGAACTTTTCTACTTGAAGCAGAAGGCCTCACTCCAGGCGTTGGTAGCGGCTCAGGAGTACGGCGTGGATAAGTTGCCCGTGGACGGCTACACCGATTGCCGGGACTTCTTCGAGTTGGCCTCAGGCAGCGGCAACGTCCCTCAGGACAAGAACCAGAGGCTCTACATCTTGGCCTTCCGAGAGGCGCGCATGGCCGGACGCTTGAGATGGCTATCACTGGTGCCTACGGAGTCCATGACGGCCGATGCTCTGACAAAGTCTATGGTGGCCGAGCTGATGATGAAACTCCTGCCGGAACCATGGAGTTCAAGAACGAGGCCAACCACCCGATCATCATGAGATCTTTGCCGAGGATGGCTAACATCGAGGAGAAGCACTTTGACATGAACGACCACGAGCTCATCAAGGACATAGCGAAAGGCTTCCTCGCGGTCACGGCCTGTTCTACCGCCAAACGCTTCATGTGCCTGGCACTACTGGTCTCTACGGCCGAAGCGACCTCCTCCTCGACTACTTCTACATCCTCGACCTCTTATACCTCAGATGACTCAGGTTGGTGGTCCCTCGTCTTCCTCACGATCGGCATTATTGTCGTGGAACGTTTTGTGGTTCAGACACTGTGTCTTTGGTGGCAACGCTGCACTACATGGTTTACTTCTACGAGTACCTCTGGGACTATTTCGACCTCTATGTCTACGACGAGCCCTACTACGACCTCAACTCCTATGACGACGATGACTTCCGAGGCCACAGACACGGCGGACCTGCAAGCTGAGAGAGATAATTCTACTCTCATGTACGTGGCTGGTCTGGAAGCTGATGCCCTCCGACTCCGCCAGAGGAACGAGTACCTGGAACGTGAGGTCGAGCAACTCCGCAACCGAGTTCGTGATGCCCAGCATGGCCCCGGCGATCTTCCCACCAGTGAGCTGTATTCTACTGTTGCTACTGGTAGGACCTGGCATCGCACCTCGCAATGTAGACACCTTACCGGTGTGCGCATTAGGGCAATGCGCCCATGCGCTGACTGCGAGCGTGACTTCTCGCTCCGTCGGGAACGCTGAGCGGAGTGAAGATTTGCTGTATAGTCTGTGTAGGCAAACGCACTCGACATCTGACAGCCGGCTTGGGCCCGAAGAAAGGAAGAGATCCAAGTCTGCGGCACGACTTTTCAAGCAACCTGCGATCACATGATAGTCGAGCACCGACCGTCACTGAGCCTGATCAGTCATGTT